AACTACTTCAAATCTAGCATCTTTGAATGATTACTATGTGAAACAGGTAAAATAAGCTATTTTAAAATCAGATTTATCGAGGTATAATTGACATGCATTAAACTGCACATATTTAAAGTATATAATTTGATAATTGTTGGTATATGTATATACCTATGAAATCAGCACCACAATCAGGATAATGAACATTTGTATCATTTCCCCCAAATAGTCCATCCCTCCTTACTTCTCCTCTCTCCCCATCCCACACAACCAAGGATCTGTTTTGTTACTTGATTTGCTTGTATTTTCTAGAATTAAAAAAAAAAAAACATCAAACAGTATGTACTCTCTTTTGTATGGCTTCTTTCTCTCAGCATAATTATTACACAAATTTATCCATGTTGTTGCATGTATTAATTATTCATTTTTATTTCTGAGCAGTATTCTATTATATGGATATACCACGATTTGTTCATATACTGTGCTACTGACCAACATTTGGGTTGTTTCCAGTTTTCAGCTATTACAAATGAAGCTATGAATATTCTTTGTATAGATATATGCTTTCTTTTCTGTTGGGTAAATATCAAGGAGTGAAATGAGTGGATCACATAATAGGTGTATGCTTAACTTGTTAAAGAAATCACCATACACTGTTTTCCAAAGTGGTTATGCATCAATTGCATCTTCACCATCAGTGTGAGGTCCAGTGCCTCCACATCTTTGCCAACACTTGCAATCGTCTTTTCAATTGCAGCTATTACAGCATCCGTGAAATGGTATCTCATCATGGCTGTACTTTGCCATTTCACCAATGTCGAGTGAAGCTGAGCATCTTTTCACAGGCTCATTTGCCAATCCTATGTCCTCCTTGGTAAAGTGACTATTCCACTGTTTTGCTTACTTTATTGGATTGTTTGTTTCTTACTGTTGACTTGTAAGAATTCTTTATGTATTCTAAATACAAATCCTCTGTGAAGTATAATATGCATTTTAAAAAAGAAATGCAACTACTTTAGGTAATTATGCTTTGTCAATATAATACATTTTAAATAACCCTTATAAAAGGGATGTATTATTCCCATAATCCTCAAGTATCAAGTTTCCCCATGTCTAATAAAGATGGTCACCCAGCTGGGACAGCAGAGAACCTGCTTGGGATTCTCCCTCTCTCTGCTCCTCACCTGCTTACACACACACACACACACACACACACACACACACGCACGCACACTCTCTCTCTCTCTCACAAATAATCATGAACAATAAAGAAATAAACAGGAAATATCATATTTGCCAGCTGGCAAATAAAAAAGAGAATAAGAATAGAAAAGAAAACATACAGATTTTCTCAACATTCTTCTTAATCCCTCCTGATTTAAGGAGCCTGGTAGCAAACTACTAGTAGTAAGAGATAACAAAGGGGATCATGTAAATGATAATTAGTCTTTTTCCTTTTTCTTTTAAGCGAAATTTTAAAAAGCATTTAGTAAGTAGTATTTTTATTAAATTTGTCTATATACCAAGACTCTGTTGTTTTACATGAATGTTTTCCTTATCAGACTAAAGCACAAGATTCAATACGGTACGTAGTAAATATCGTTATTATGTCCTTGATTCTCTCCTTTTCTTTTAATTCCTATCCATGTGTTCTCTTCTTCCATTTCCAGCATCCCTCATCTATATTCAGATTAATTTGCTGATCCCACATAAGTCTTGGTTACAGATTTTTTGGTGACCCTAGAGATCAACTATCATGCTTCTTACTTCAAAGAAACAAAATGAAAATGCCACTAAAACTCTTTGTGGAACTCACTGAAAGAATGCAGATATTCTCCTGAGTGAAAAAGTGGAACTTTTTTTTATAGTAGCCATGTAAATTAGTACTCTTTGCCAGAATAAAGCATACACATAATTATTTTTCAAACTTCACTATTTAATGGATTAAAGACCCAAATATGAGACCTGAAACCATAAAACTCCTAACAGAAAACATAGGCAGTAATCTGTTGGACTTAGGCCTTAGCAACATATTTATGGATGTGTCTCCTCAGGGAAGGGAAGCAAAAGCGAAAACAATATTGGGATTGCAACAAAATAAAAAGCTATCACATAGAAAAAGAAACCAAAAGGCAATCCACTGAAATAGAAGGTATTTGCAAATGATATAACCAATAAGGGTTTAATATCCAGAATATATAAAGAACTTCCACAACTCAACAGAAAAAAAAAAAAATCTGATTAAAACATAGGCAAAGGAGGGGTGCCTGGGTGGCTTAGTCGGTTAAGCGTCCGACTTTCGCTTAGGTCATGATATCGCGGTTCATGGGTTCAAGCCCCGCGTCAGGCTCTGTGCTGACTGCCAGCTCAGAGCCTGGAGCCTGTTTCAGTCTGTGACTCCCTCTCTCTCTGACCCTCCCCTGCTCACGCTGTCTCTCTCTCTCTCTCCTAGAAATAAATAAAACATTAAAAAAAAAAACAAAAAACAAAACATAGGCAAAGGAGATACATGAAAAGACGTTCAATGTCACTAACTATTCGGGAAATGCTAGTCAAAACTACAATGAATGATCACCTCACACTATTATCACAATGGTTATTATCAAAAAGACAAGAAATAACAAGTATTGGTGATGATGTGGACAAAAGGTAACCTTATGGGTTGTTGGTGGGAATGTAAACTGATGCAACCACTGTAGAAAACAGTATGGAGGATCCTCAAAAAAATCAGAATAAAAATAGCATATGATCCAGCAACTCCACCAATGAGTATTTACCCAAAGAAAACAAAAACACTACTTCAAAAAGATATATGCACCTCTATGTTTATTACAGCATTATTTACAATAGCCAAAATATAGGAGCAACCCAAGTGTCCATCAGTAGATGAATAGGTAAAGAAGATGTACTATATAAATACATATACAATGGAATATTACTCAGCCACAAAAATGATCTTACCATTCACAACATGGAGGGACCTAGAGGATATAGTGCTAAGTGAAATAAGTCAAACAGAGAAAGGCAAATACCATCTGATTTCACTTATATGTGTAGTCTAAAAAATAAACAAACTCTTAGATATAGAGAAATGGTGGTTGCCAGGAAGGAAGGGATTACAGGGATAGGTAAAATAGGTGAAGGCGATTAAGAGGTACAATGTAAATCATGGAGATGAAAGGCACAGCATAGAAAATATAATCAATAATACTGCAGTTATAAAATAAGTATGTCGTGGAAATGAAAAGTATACCATTGAAAATATAATCAATAATACCGCAACAACTTTGTATAGTGACAGATGGTAACTACACTTATCGTCGTGAACACTGTGTAACATATAGAATTGTCAAATCACTGTTATACACCCTGAAACAAATACAACATTATATGTTAACTATACTTCAATTAAAAAAAAAGAACTAACTAAAACCTACTATTTAAGACTTGAATCTACCGAGCAATGCAAGAAACTCCAAGGAATCTTTCCTGAATAAGAGCGCATCTGAGTAAGTTCTGTGGCTAAATAACCATGCTCCTCCTAAAGAGCAGTGGGGAGGAAACCATACAGACTCAAATCTAATCATTTTAAACCATGGAAAGAAAACACGTTTAAGCTCCTTTAAAATATTTTTATGTACAAAGAACAATCTCATACATTTTTAAAATTTTTATGAGACATATTTTTTTTTAGTATTTTTATTTATTTCTAGGAGAGAGAGAGACAGCGTGAGCAGGGGAGGGTCAGAGAGAGGGAGACACAGACTCCAAAATAGGCTCCAGGCTCTGAGCTGGCAGTCAGCACAGAGCCCGACGCGGGGCTCGAACCCACAAACCGCGAGATCATGACCTAAGCAAAGTCGGACATTTAACCGACTAAGCCACCCAGGTGCCCCTCTTTTTATTTTTTATTTTTTTAAAAATATTTTTATTTATTTCTAGGAGAGAGAGAGAGGCAGCGTGAGCAGGGGAGGGTCAGAGAGAGGGAGACACAGACTCCAAAATAGGCTCCAGGCTCTGAGCTGGCAGTCAGCACAGAGCCCGACGCGGGGCTCGAACCCACAAACCGCGAGATCATGACCTAAGCAAAGTCGGACATTTAACCGACTAAGCCACCCAGGTGCCCCTCTTTTTATTTTTTATTTTTTTAAAAATATTTTTATTTATTTCTAGGAGAGAGAGAGAGGCAGCGTGAGCAGGGGAGGGTCAGAGAGAGGGAGACACAGACTCCAAAATAGGCTCCAGGCTCTGAGCTGGCAGTCAGCACAGAGCCCGACGCGGGGCTCGAACCCACAAAGCGTGAGATCATGACCTAAGTGAAAGTCGGACGCTTAACCGACTAAGCCACCCAGGCGCCCCATTATGAGACATATTATCCTTCAGAGAATGCTTCTGTGTCAGACACATTTAAAACGAACTCTTCTATAATAAGCAGCACTAGCATTAGAATAAATAGCATATGGTACTGGCAATCTCTGACACAATATAACGATATAGAGAACCCTCAGTTAAAAGTATTTCATGGAAGTAATTATGATACAATTAACCATATTTCCCAAATCAGAATAGTTCTCATCAGACATCTAATACTAGCCTCTTTTGACACTGTTTTTTAAAAGTCCCAGTATTAAAAGAATAAGCTTCTTCTAGAGAGAGAAAAAGGAAAAAAAGAATAATTTTGGCCTATTAAAGATAGTATCTATTGATAAGACATAGTACTGTTCCCAAACATGCTATAAATCATTACTCTAATGCATGATCACTGTATGAAATAATCACTTGGTTAGTAAAAATGATATATCTCTTAAAATACTCAGTTCTTTTGATATAATGAAAAATTTAATGATGGGCTTCAAATCCTTTTTTAATAGTGTAAAATATGTGAGCTTTATTATATGTTAAAGAAAATATAAATAGTATGACCCAAAATTTATTAAAGTTACAATAAAATACTCTTCAATGCATACAAAATTGCAAAATAACTGATGTTTTTTTCAATAAAGATTCCAGATATAATATTTGCTGACAAGATAAAACAAAGATACATTTAATGACTCTTGTTCTGTGTTAAGGTCACCTTATTGAACGATACATCATGAAATCAATAGTTGTACATCTAGGAAATTTGCCAATGGAGCTCTCTTCCACTGGTGTGTATATTTTAATTTGTCTCATGTGGGTGTCTCTTCCATTCTGGTGATTGGCTAGAACAGCAATCTGTATCATGAATGTGCGAGTGGGCTTCTTATGATTATCAGTTAAGGGAACGTGAATCCAGCCACTTGGTTCCACCAATTCAAGTTGCTGCCAAGAAAACAAAAGTCAGATTATGTTTTCACTCAATGAACATAATTGATTACAATGAACACATTCTAAAGTTGATTTATATTTAACATTTTGCTCACTGAGAGAATGACAATATACCAACCAGTACCAGTCATTTGGCACTTTTACAACATGGTCCGTTTTTACACCTGTTAATAGGCACTCTACATGTTCCATCTTAGTAGACAAAATGAAAAGATATATGTAATCTTAGGGTTTATAGAAATCTGTATAACATAAAAGTTTAGAATTAGACATGTAGAAACATATACAGTCAATGGACGACCATGTTGATATAAGCAGGAAATGAATCTAACATTATGCTTCAAGTGTATTTTATTTCAAGGACCATACCTAATATACTCAAACATACTCAGATTCTACACAAATTACAAGAATAACAAAAGAAAATCAATCATTAAAAAAAAATCAAAGCTTTTTAAAATGCTAAGTGATTTATGTAGCCTGGATGATATTCTAAACCTAAAATCTAGATTTTTAATATGAAATGCTAGATAATTTTTTTTAATTCTTAAGAAATTCCAGACAAATTTGTTTAATCAGGAGTCCAAACTATCCCTCCTTAATAAAGGAAAGAAAATCATAAGTCAAAAGGTAAACCTAAATTTCTAAAATTTTTTCTAAAGTTATAAAATCATTTTTAAAACATATTGATTTCTAAATTATCTTAATTTATTTTGAACACATATAAACTATATATATTACAGAAAATACATGCTTATCTTATCAACACAGCCAAATACAGGTGTCAGAGAATCTAAATGTGGATTCCATGAGTGAGTCTAGCAAAAGAATTCAGTGAATACACCACTATATCTTCTTTCCTTCTCTCTCTCCCTTCTTTCCTTCTTTCTTTTTCTTTCATTCCTTCTCATTTTTCTTTCTTCTCATTTCTCTTCCTCCTTCGCTCCCTCCAACCCTCCTTTCTTTCTTCACTTTTTCTTTCCTTCCTTCTTTCATTCATTTTATGGAAGAAAAGGGTGTGTAGATGAAAGCAGAGATGGGACAAGACAAAAAGAACAGAAATCTTTAAAAAGGTAGCTATTTTTAAGACTGAATGATTTCCTCTTTTTAACCACAGAACGTAAGAATGAATAAATCCCTACTACTTGTGGTATTTTTAATCGGTGTTTTTTTTGTTTTGTTTTTGTTTTAAATAAACTTCCATTAGCATTAACTTAAAATGAAAGAATCAGAAACCAGGTATATCTGGTTTCCATCAGTAACCTTTTTATTCATTCAGGTAACAAATAGTTACTGAGTAGTTAAAATGTTGAAGGTATTTTTCTAAGTAAAGTTAAGTATACAAAACATGAATAAGGCCTTGTTCCTAACCTGAAAAAAAGTTCAGGGGCACCTGGGTGGCTCAGTTGGCTGAATGTCCAACTCTTGATTTCAGCTCAGATAATGATCTCAGGGTCATGGGACTGAGTTTCATGTTGGGCTCCAAGCTCATTGGGGAGCCTACTTGGGATTCTCTCTTTCCCTCTGCCCTTCTCCCCTGTTCTCTCTCTCTCTCTGTCTCAAAAAAATAAATGAAAATAAATTGGGGGGGAGGGGAAGTTCTGAAGCAGATAACCTTTCTGGCTTCATTCAGTTTCTTCAAGTACAATTTTTTTTAAATGTTTGTTTATTTTTGAAGCAAGCTCTGAGCTGTCAGCACAGAGCCTGACACAGGGCTTGAATCCACAAATGCAAGATTATGACCTGAGCCAAAGTTGGATGCTTAACTGACTGAGTCCCCCAGGTGCCCCAGTTTCTCCAAGTATAAAATAAAAGGATTGGAGAAGTTATCATTCAGTGTCTCTTCCAGGTCTCACATTTAGTAATTCTAAATAAAAGAAGAAAGATATGGTAGGCAGAAAAATGGGCCCCCAAAGGTATCCAAGCCCTTCTTCAAAACCTGGGGTTATTTTAACTTACAGGGCAAACCGGGCTTTGTAGATGTGATTAAGCTAAAGACCCCGAGACGAAAAAATTATCCTGGATTTCCTGGGTGGGCCCAATATAATTATAAGACTCCTTGTAAGAGGGAGACAGGACAGTCAGAGAAGGAGATATGATGGTAGAAGCAAAGGTTGGAGTGATGGGACCATAAGCCAAGGAAAGTGGGCTGACTCTAGAAGCTGGAAAAGGCAAGGAATGGTTCTCCCTAGAAATCCCCAGGAAAGAAGGGAGCTTGCTGATACCCTGATTTTAATCTATAAGACCCATTTTAGACTTATGTCTTCCAGAACTATAAAATAACCAATTTGTGTTGTTTTAAACTACTACATGTGTGATAATTTGTTATAGTACATACAGGAAACTATTACAATAGATATTTGTGGGAGTATAGAGAAGGGAGAAAGCATTTCTGGAAGGAAGAATTCATTCTCTCAGCATAACACCCTCAGGCAGAGAAGGACAAATATCATATGTTTGCACGTATAGGAGGATTAGGAGGAACTTGACGGAGGAACAAGGGGGAGAAGAAGGGCGGAAATGGTGGGGGAAAGGGAGAGAGGCAAACCATGAGAGACTCTTGAATGCTGACAAAAACTGAGGACTGATGGATGTGGGGGGGAGGGGGGGGATGGGCATGGAGGAGGGCACTTTGGGGATGAGCACTGAGTGTTATGTAGAAACTAATTTGACAATAAACTATTTGTAAAAAAAAAAAAAAAAGAATTCATTCTCAAGGTAAATGTACTATAATGAACCTCAATAATGAACAAAAAAGTAAAACTAAAATTCTAAATTCAACTTCTTACTAACAGAATGTTTTTGACAAATTTAACCATTATTTCTGATAGACACAATGTTATTTTCCTAGCATATCTTAAATGCTTCGGTGTTCTGAAAATTATATTAAGATTTTATAGCATAAATGCTTTTTGGAATGATATGCACAGAATTATAGATGTAATAAATTATTCAATAAATACTATTGGTATTGCTTCAGAACATATCATAAGGCTTACTGATCTTGATTACTATAACTACATTACAAAGTACATGTAGTTGTTAATATCTTTCAAATGACTTCACAATCAACTATATTCCCCAAAAGTCATAAATTTCAAGTCATGTGTCTACTGCAGTTCTACTGTGGGCAGTTTAGAATTCTCAGAATCATCTCTAAAAAGTTCTTATTCTGATATCATCATACCTTAGACTACTTCATAGATTCAAAAAACTCAAGTACATTAACTAATTGGAATTTAAATAGAAAGTTTAAAAGAAACCCTTAAGAATATACCATATATATAATTCTTATGTTTTTTATAAATATTTGGTTAAAAGATTAATATACTTTAAGAAAAAATTATATTATTTTTTATATTAAGCAGAAAATTAATGAAAGGTAAATTTTTGCCAATTTAACTTTCTTTTTTCTCCATTTCTGGTTTGCCTCAATAAATGAAAGTTTCATCACCATTACTATAGAAGTTTTTTCTATATTTCTCCTTCTTTCTTTCTATCATCTCCCTTTTTGGCTCTTTTCTCCATATATTCACTCAACATTTTTTTATTAGCCTGTCTACTAAATACCAAAAATACTCTTAGCTGTACGTGTAGGGTAGGGACTGGCAAATCTCTTCTATAAAGGACCCAAAAGTAAACACTTTAGGTGTTGTGGGCCATGTGGCCATTATGACTAGTCAATCTGCCTTTGCAGAGTGAAAACAGTTATAGGTAATATGAAAGTGAATGAGTGTGCCTATGTTCCAATAAAACTTTATTTACAAAAGCAAGCCACTGACCAGTTGGCCCATAGACTACACCCTGACATAGGGAGTAGTTACAGATGGAACTGACCCTCAGAAAGGTAATATAACTTCATAAAATAGAAAATAACTTGTATGTCCCCTGACTCTTTTTTGAGTCAGGGGACATACAAGTTATTTTAAGAGAAAATTTACTAAGTAGGAATCAAGTCATTAACTAGAGAAATGAAGAAGCCAAGGAGAGAATTAAGGTATCATGGAGCAAACAAGTAAAAGAGGTGAAATTCTAAGGCTAGGGGAAGGACAAAAAAGAGATTACCAAAATGGAGACGTTCAGAAAAAGAGTCCTGTGGATTTGAAACTCAGATCCCTGAGGAGGGAGCTGTTTGGCTGGTGCTGGTGCCCCTGGAGGAAGAGCCCAATGGGGCTGGTATAGAGAACTTTGGGGAGTGGGAGCCAAGTGACTTGTGGTGCTGACATTTCTGACATGGGGCTCATCAGGCTGGTGTTGGGAGTGTTAGAAAAACTGCACACTGGACTCAGGTATAGCCACGGGAAGGAAGTACTGCTGTGAAGCAGCACTATGAGGATGACAGAAAACAAACAAGACACAAAGAGAAGGAAACAAGTCTCTTTTTCCTCTTTCTGCCCTGCAGTCTCCCTCTAGTGCACTCTTTCACCAAGGCTTAACAGATATGCCAGGGCTCCTCACACATCAAATGTCACTGAGCAACTGTTATATGCCAAGAAATGTTCTAGGGACAGAAAAAAAAAATACAGTGGCAAATAAGAGAGCTCACACCTGAAAAAAAACTACTCAAAGAGATACAAAGAAATCGGATTTAAACATAGGAAGACTTCAAGAAAGAAGTCATAATAAAAATGCTAGTACTGAGGAAGCACAAATAGACTAAAAAGTCAGTCAAAAAGAATAACATAAGCTCATAAAATAAAATGTAAATGTCAATAATAATTCCTCAAAAAGAATGCTAATGATAATAATAGCAGCAAGCTCTTACCTAGCACGTATTATGTGCCAGGTACTACCCTAAGTACATTAAGTATATTAATTTATTTAATCCTAGCAATGAGGCAGGTATTATCCTGATTTCACAAATGAAGCAACTGAGACACAAAGTGTTAAGTAGTTTTGATGAGGTCACATGGCTGGTAAGTGGCAAACCATTGATTGAAACAGGCAGTGTGATTCCAACGACTGTGCTTTTAAATATATAATGCATTTTACAT